TCAGAACTAATAATGTCGCTCCTTTAAGTGTATGTACATCAGCAGTTCACATCCAGACAGAGAGAGGACAGGAGGAGCGTGACCCAGGTCATTTGGGTTTAACTTACTCATTTTTAAACAAGTTTCTGTTGCATAGCACTAGGCACTGTGCTGGGTCCTGAGCATGGTAACAGTTACGGCTCCTGCTCTCATGGAGCTTTCCAGAAAGAATAGTAAGGAAAAAGAGAAAACTGTGAATGTCGAAACCGTTTGTCTGGAGAGGAAGAAGTGCAGTTGGAGCACCCAGGTCAGCCAGGACCCCCCAGCCTGTGAGGTGAAGGTGGAGAGCAGGAAGGGGCTCACTGGGAGTTCTTGGTGCTGGCAGAGGCCTCACGATGGCTCGGGCTGCTCCTGCCCCACTTGGGTGGCGTGCAGAACACGGAGCCCCGAGTTACTGTCCTCCGACAAGGTCGGCTGCCGGCTGCCGTGTATCGAAGGCTCGTGTGTGTCAGCGACTTTACTTATGTTACCCACTGACTTTTATTACCGGCCTCTAGGTTGTGAAGAAACAATAACTCAGAAGAGATGGTAATGAAGTAATTACTGCATTAAGTAATACCACCTAGAAAAGCAGTAGTGTCATCACAGTCTTATAGACGGGGAAACTGAGGCACAAGAGAGAGGAAGTACTATGTCCAGGTCACACAGCTGGTGAGTGAAAGAACCCGGATTCAGTTGAAGGACCCCTGCTTCCAAAACTGACCCCAGACGTGCTGACTCACTTTTCGAAGTCGTTCGCCTCACCGCTGTGGGCGTGTCCTACAGGCAGGCATCGAGCCTGTGTCATAGTAACTTCATGCTCAGCAGCTTGTATGTTGCTTCTGTGTTCGTCTCAACGTCTGTATCTTATGACAGGGTGTTGGCGCAACCTCAGTCCTTGTGGTGCTGCTTGATACACTGTCCCCCAGTAGGCTGCCTTTTCTGCCTCCCCAGTTGTCAAGCCCTATTTGGTCTGCAAGCGGGGAGTGTGGAAAAATCGACCACCAAGACGAGTTGCTGTCCGCCTCCCACCCAGCCGTTCCTTCCTCTCCTGCCCCGCCCGTAACCATCCTCTTCCCGAATGGAGCTGGCACGGGGACGAGACCAGATCTGTTGTCCCGCCAGAGCCTCTGGTTCCCTCTCCCTGGCGGTGCCTCGAAATCCGAGCTGGGGTGCCTTTCGGGGGTGCCTCAGTTTCACTTCCATGGGATTTGTCTTCTGAAACCGAGCTTCACGGATCTCAGCGAATTTTCCTCTCTTTTAGTGTCATGAAGGCATTCAAGCTTGTTGGCATGCCCTGCTTCTCCCGAAGAACAGACCTCGTTTTGTTGACGTTTTAATAGTTTTTCCTTCTGTGTTAGAGGTGTGTTTACCTTTGTGAATTTATGTGCTCCCTTTGTGTCAGTGTTATACATTTGGTGTGTTTTTATCCCGTGTGCCCTCTGAAATCATAGTTTTTGGAGTGGACTCTTGCTTATTGGCCCAATTTGATTATCAAGCATAGAGAACTTTCAGTATTTTTGTCTCAGGGAAGAGCTAGAAGTCATGAACTCTGAGTTCCCTGCTGTTCCAGTTTCCAAGGTCTGTAAAATGGTGCTGCCTTCCCCTGGGCTTGGAGCGGGAGGGCGTGGTGAAGGGCCGAGAACCACCTCCGTCTGGTGTCCGGAGTCAGACGGCCAAGGCTGTTTCCCACTTCATCTCTTAGGGTTATGTAACCTTGAACATCATTCACTTTTTCTCTCTCTCTCTTTGTGGACTGGCAAAGCAAATGATTGGGAATCATTCGCTATTTCTGATTCCATAGTTTCATCATCTGTAAAGTGTGAATAATAACTTCATCTACCTTTGGGGTTGCTCTGAGGCTCAAATGGGCTACTGCCTGTAAGCATGGTGCTGGTGCTTAGTAAGTACTCAGTAAGTCTTGACTCTGTCAGCATCACACATTAGGTTATTTTACACACTCCTTTTAAATGTCTTCTGTTTCTTTTCCATTGAAAGTGTTTTCAGGCATAAGAGCAGTGTGTCGGGAGGAGGTGAGTGTATTGGGATGGTGACGGCAGGGGGACGGTGGACCTTGGGAGTTAACTGTGACTTCAGCATGGCGCTGCGTACTGACTTCATTTCTGTGGAAGTCAGGAAGATAGGAAGGACAAGATTTGGGGTGGAAAGCTAAAAGGGGTTCCTACAAATGTGATCAGACCCTGGGTGCAAATACTCAAATGAGGGCGCCTTCGTAAAGACTACAGCTTGATGTCAGAGCGTGATGTCATGGAAACAGGAGGTCAGCGCTGAGAGGACAGCCTGTCCTGTTGTGTCTCCTGGTTGTGAAGTCCGATTACGGCCTGGTGTGGACATTTTGGCTTTGATAACCTGATTACATTAGGGGGCCAGGAATCCCGCTTAGTCACCTTGAGTTCCCGCCCATGTGTATTCCCTGTGTTTGTGTACATTTCCTGTCCCACACTGTTACATCTGGCAGACAGCTGTTGTCATGTACGTGGTGACGGGTGTCCATCAGTGATCTGGATGCCGGTGATGGGGACCTTGGGAATCCCCGAGGCTGAGAGACCTCAGGGGAGTGTCAGCAGCCAGAGTCACAGGTGGGACGTTCCATACTCAGCCACCTTCCGGCAGAGGTGAAGTTAGGTCCTGGGCTGTTCACCTAATGACATGAATGTGAATGTGGTTAGTGCCACTGAACTGTGCCTTTAAAAATGGTTAAAATGGCAAATTTCACTTTATATTTTAAAAATATACTAAAAACCATTGTATACTTTAAATGAGTGGATTGTATAGTAGACGAATTAGATCTCAGTAAATCTGTTTAAAAATATAAGAATGTTTTAACAATCTTTTTCTATTATCAGTTCAAAAAAGTTTTTGCTTATATTGCTGCATTAAAAATTACTTAATATATATATATTTTTTTGCTGAGGAAGGTTCGCCTGACCTATCATCTGCTGCCAATGTTCCTCTTTTTGTCTGTGAGCTGCTGCCACTGCATGGCCACTGACAGACGAGTGGCGTAGGTCCACGCCTGGGAACCGAACCCAGGCTGCTGCAGTGGGGCGTGCGAAATTAACCACTAGGCCACTGGGGCCGGCCCAGAAATTACTTAATATTTTAATTGTAGCAAAGAAATTGAATTTCCTTCATTTCTTTTTATACTTTATTTTGAAAGAATTTCAAACTTACAGAGAAGTTGCAAGAATTCATGCAGTGAACTCACGTGCTCACCACCTAGACTCATACTTCTTATTTCTTGAGGCTCTTTAGTCCCAGTATCCAGAAGGGATGTGCTGTGACATGGCAGTGGTTTTTGTGTCATAGTTTTGTTTTTTCAATTGAATGTGCCGATTACTCATTGGGCCTTTTCAGTCTGAGAATTTCTCTCTCCCTCTTCCATATTGAGAACTTGTTTAATTTCCTTGGTAGTTTCATTTCTTCTGTATTCTGTTTGCTTTTTCAGGAACCTCCTATTAGGTGGATGTTGGACCTCCTGGATTTTCTCATCTTTTCTGACCTGTTTTTCATCTATCTTGTTGTTCACCAGACTGGAATATGTTATTATCTTTGTCAGTCCAGCTTTTAAGAAAACATTTAAGCTATCATGTTTTTAATGTCCAAGAGTTCTTTCCTGTTTTTTGATAGATGTTTTTAAATACAAATAACAATTTATGGGCCCGGCCCAGTGGTGCAGCGGTTAAGTTCTCACTTTCTGTTTTGGCGGCCTGGGGTTCGCTGGTTCAGATCCCAGGTGTGGACATGGCACCACTTGTCAAGCCATGCTATGGCAGGCATCCCACATATAAAGCAGAGGACGAAGGGCACGGATGTGAGCTCAGGGCTAATCTTCCTCAGCAAAAAGAGGAGGATTGGCAGCAGATGTTAGCTCAGGGCTAATCTTCCTCAAAAAAAGAAAAAAGCAGTTGATTCTTATTTCATCTTCTCTCTTTGAGGATGTAATTTGTCGTTGATGTTGTTTTGATTTCCTTCTGCTGCTTCTGTCGTCTCTCTGTCTTCTGAGTTCGTTGTCCTGTTTGTGGTTTCTCTTGTTGATGCTGAAGACGTCCCTGAAACGTCTGTGACTCTAGGCTCTGTTTGTGATTAAGAGGGAAGCACCAACGACCTGGTCAGGAGTGCTTTGTGTGAGGGCAAGCTGATGGCCCTGAGGGCCTCCCTGGCGGGGGACCTGGTGGCGAGTGAGCCTGGAACTGGAGGGGGAGGAAGGCTGTGGCTCCTTCTTCGGAATGGGGATGCTCTCCCGCGTGTTCCGCCAGCTGTGCCTCCCCGTCTGGAGCTTCAGTTTCCTCAGAGAATGAACCCCTTCTCCCGCTGGGGTGGGCAGGAGAGGTTTTCGGGCTGAGCGGGCAGGTGGAGAGGGCTGTCCCCGCTCCTGTCGTGTGTTTGTGGCCCGTCCTCCAGGGCTCCCCCTCCCCTCCTTGCCCCTCCCAGGGCGCCCCCGGCTCACTTCCTGGGCCTTGGTGGGGTCAGCAGTTGGAGCTGGCTGTGCCCTCGGCTCCCACAGTGGGTGCTTCCGTTTCCAGGCTTGCCCTCCGCGCCATCACCGCTCCCGCAGCCCCTGCCGTCTTTCAGAAGCACGTGCATGCTGCCCTTCAGCTGTCGTCTCCCTCCATGTTATCGTCATCGTGGGTTTCTGGGTTCCGTTTCTTTGCCGTCATTGTAGTGGGTTTGGGGAGGGAATGGAGATAAGTGCATGTGTTGAATCTGCCACATGTAACTGGAAATCTCCTCTCAGCCGCAGGAGCTCTCGGCTCCTGTTTCAGTGGCACCAGAGCCCAACCGAATTAACCAGAGTCCACATGGACGTTGAGGGCAAGGCTTTGGATGATTGCTTAGCTCTTGAGTTGGTTGTGGTGAAAATCCGCCCGTCTCCCCTGTTCGATTTGTTGATGGTGGGAAAGAGGTGGTCCGTTGTTGCTGGATCCTTCTCTGACCCACGTTGGTCTGTTCTCTTGCAGAAGTGGGGTAGCGTGAGCAACCCCCTCTTCCTCCCGCTGATCCCGCCACAGTCTCAGGGCTTCACCGCCATCGTCCTCACCTACGACCGAGTGGAGAGCCTTTTCCGGGTCATCACCGAAGTGTCCAAGGTGCCCAGTCTAGCCAAGCTGCTGGTCGTCTGGAATAATCAGAATAAAAACCCACCAGAAGGTGAGCGGGGGGAATGGGGTGTCAGGAAAGGCCTGGTTGGGGCCTTCAAGCAGCTCTCAGCTTGCTCGATTTTGGATGTCCAGACTATCTGTGCTTTGTTTTAAATGAAATGTCCTGCTTTGTCAGCAATGATGCCATTTCTGCGGCAGCGTGACCCCCATTTTCTCCATCATCTCATTCTTGTTCTGGGGTGGCCCCTTCACCAGCGAGCCCCTGACGTGCTCTGTAGCCCCGAGTGTTTGGTGGCTTAGGAATCACTAGGATCAAAGGGCACCAGCCTTGGGAAAACAGACCTCAGCCTCCCGGGCCCTCTCGGCTGGTTTGTTTACATGGAAACTCAGTCTAAAAGGCATTCGTTTTCTTCTCCCTTATCTCGGCTCTGATACTGTGCCCTTCTTCAAAAATGAAAAAAAAGGACAGCCTCCCCTTTGGTTGGGAAAGTCTGCAAAGGCTGCCTCCCAGGCTTCGAATCGGTTCCTTCGAGCCAGCCGGCGCTGCAGTTTCCGTGGGCTCCCCCGTGGGCTCCTCCGTGGGCACTGCGCTCCCCGCCTCGGCCACCTGCACTCGGCTGGCTCGCAGCTAGGGCCGAGAGCTGTTGGATTAATTGGATTTGTTTTTAATTCAGGACGCATAGAGCGCGTTCCACCTGCATGTGGTTTCTCGTTCGGTCCATCTATTACTGATCCTAATCCCACAGCCTTCAAAGCTCCTGCCCTTTACAGCCTATTAGAGCCAGGAAGTTCCTGACGGCTGAGAGCAAGGAATGGGTTTGAAGTTTGCAATGTGCCCCACTGTCACCGATAAGGCTAGTTTATGGCCTGACAGTAGTATCTGCACTTTGATGGCTGTCCCCTTTTAATTGGTTATACTGAAGTCCGACAGTCCAGCCTGGAAGCCACCAGTACGAGATCTATGTCCAGGCTGGAGGAAGACCGTAGTTCTGTCTGTGAGGCACTCAGAATTTGCCTCTAGAAAATTCTTGAGTTCCTCCTGGGACGTTTAAAAATGTTTACTTGGTGGGATTTTTGTCCTCGGAGAGAACCCTCTGCTTTCTTTTTAGATTTAGGGAGCCGCAGCGTGTAAGTAAACAAAGCCATAGCTGTTTTAACTGAGGGGCCCATATATGCCCTGAGGCACATTTTTTAAGAATTTTCTTTTGATTAACTATCTTTTTATGCCAAGCTTTTTTCCTTCTCAACATCTACTTTTGTTTTGTTTGATGCTCAGTAAAGGAGAAAAGGGTGGAAGGAAAAGGAAGGTGTTGGCAGGGAAGGGAGGACAAGCAGCTGTGTAGAGAGGGGCATGGGAGGACCTCTGACAGCAGACGTGGGTCCGTCGGACGGGTGGCCTCTCCTGGAGTGAAGTGGGCTGGATGGGGACACCTCGCTAATTGGTCTCTTCACTTCTGAAGGATGGGTCGTGCTTTAAAGAGGAAGGCCGTGTATCCCTGGTCGTCGAATCTAGCCGGGCCCGTGTGTCATGCTGCGTTCGCTGTCGCGTCCGCTCCTGCACACAAAAGCCGCCCCACCCTCCTGCCCAGAGAGGCAGAGAGCAATTCTGGTGCTACATGCAGAAGAGGCTTCTCCTTAGAAACCTGGCTAGTCCACGTAGGGCTTAGGGTGCATTGTTTATGGTGAATTTGAGCCACTTCTTTTGGGCAAGTATTGTTGCAAACGATGAGAAAGGAGAAATCTTTTCCTTCCTTCTTGGTCTGAGCCCGTCCATCGGCATAACTAAAAGCAGCAGCCCAAACCGAGGTCCTGGAGCTGGGTGTTGAGTTTTAATTTTTGGTGTAGATCCTACTAAAACGTAGTGGTTAATTTTATGACCAAGAGTTTAGTTTATTTTTGAAATATTTTGGCTCTGGGGAGGAAAGAGAGCCCTCAAGCCGTAAGGCCCTAATTCTGACACGTTTGGAGACTGGACCAGCTCTTTTCCAGTGGCGGTTTTTCGGTCGGGGCGCCGGCTGGCGAGGACGTTGTTTGGGGAGAACACGCGCCGTGTTTGTTAATCTGCAGGGTGTTGTTCCGTTGGTAAATGAGGCTGTCAGCTCTGGCCCTCATGCCAGCAGAGGCATCTGAGTTTTCATGTACAGCATTAGTAACATATATATTTTTTAAAAAATGAGTCCAAGGCTTTGAAATATTAGAGGCGCAAGTGATGTTTTTCACTCTGTCTACATTTACTAAAATAAATATTGTGGTTAACATGTCTGCTGCTGGAAGGATTAGTGGAGGCAGAAATCCCCCCACCCCCATGTTTTTTCACTCTCCACCCCAACCCAATACTCTTTTCTCTTTGGGTACATTTAGGTCTAAATTGCTGGGTTTGAAGTTTAAGTAAATACTTAGGCTAGGCAATAGAAATTTCCAGTGAGCTTTCGTCACGTTGGTTTTGAGCTCTGTCAGAAAAAAGGCAAGCCCCTGCCTCTGTCCTGCCCAGCTTCCCTTCTAAGCTTGATGGGCTGGAGGTTATTAGTCTTGGCCCCCGGCCTCGCCCTGAAGGAAGCTGCTACATTGTACGTTTCAGGGAGGTTTAACTCGCCTTCTGTTTTAATGGATTTCAGTTTTAAATTTGAGTTCATCTCGGGATCCCCCCAGCTTCAGATGGCGACTCTCATAGTTCTCAGTAGGCTAACTGAGAATGGGATGGGATTGGCTGTGCCGCAGGATGGTCACCCAGAAGAGGCAACAAGGGTGCGGCAGAGCAGCTCCCCTCCTTTTGAGCTGAATTCTGGGACCGTAGGAATTGGGGTCCCGGGGGCCGGATGCACACCCAGCGCCTCCAGTGCTCCTGAAGTGAGCTCAAGCCTTGTGCGCAGATAATCTGGCCCTTTGTTTTGTGGATCTGTGGTCACCCTGAGCGTTTCGTAGTACCTTTGCCAAGCTGGAGAAAAGTCCTTCTTGCTCACATCTCTTTTGGCATCCAACATGGAGAAAACTGTTAATCAATACACATTTAAAAAAGTCCTTAACACAAGGAGTTCTTTTTCTCCCTCAAGCTGGACTGAAGCTCACAACTGTGAACTTATCAGGTCCCTTGGCTCAGCTGTTTGTTTTTCATAAATTCAGCCATGTGTTTGAAAAATCGTGTTTTTCAGACAACTTTGTGTGAATGGAAGGTGACATTTCCATTTGGCCAACTGCAGAGTCCCAGGATGAGACACAGGCCCAAAGGCGTGTTTTCCGCAGAACTGAAAGGACTAAGGAGCTGGAGACCCATCTGGGCTGAGCAGTGGGGTTAGAGCCTGAGGCTTTCCAGCTATGACCGTGTTTCCTTCTGCATCCTGAGAGGTCACCTCGTGTCCTGTCTCCAGCTCTGCAAGTTGTCAGTGGAGAAGTGAGGTTCCCAAGACTTCACAGGAGTCCCTTGGTGAAGATTATGGCACCGCATTATGATAGCTGTGTCTTGTGTCCCTTCTCTCTCCCAGGAGTAGGATCCGTGCCAAGCCCTTTACACCTGTCACCTCTGGCCCTTAGGACAAACCTGCAGGGAAGCCAGAATTATCCCCATTTCACAAAAATGCGACTCAGACTCGTTGAGTAATTTGCCTGAGCCGCAGAGCTGCAGATGGCAGAACCAGCAGTAGTCACAGGTCTCTCTGGACCCAAGGCTCCTGCCCTTTGCATGGAGCCCACTGTGTCTCTGTAGATGACCATTTAGCCGTGGGAAAATCATCATGCTTTGTGGGTTCTCTGGTTGGGATCATGTAGAAGAACGAAATCCTTGTCAGGGACTCAAAGACAGAAAAAGAAATCTATTCTTTTCAAAATACTAATGGAAGGAAAAAAACTTCTCTTCTTTCTCACTGATGTTTTTTTCCTACCTCGTGCTCCTCTCCTAATTTTTAAACAGAATTAAAATCCTCTACCAGAATTATCGGCTGGAGGGCAGGGAGTAATTATAACGCTTATTCTTTGGTTGCTGCCCTCGTGTCCACCCACAGGAGGGATGCTGGAGCCTGAGAAGATGGTGGTTCTCTTTCTTGGAGGCCTGATTTTTGGAAAATGTGAAAAGGAGGAACTGGGAATCCTGTTGAGAGTCCTGGTTTGTGGTAATGGTGGTTCACAGACAGCTTGTCCTTGGGATGGACACTCCTTTCGGCAAAGCCGACTTTTGGCTGCCCAGCCTCACTCAGACCAGGCACGGGAGGTCACATTTCCAGAAAAGCCATGATGCCTTCTCCATTCCCGTCTGCACCCCACGTCATCCTCTCTGGCCTCATCACTCTCTGAAACGTCCCCATCAAAGACTTTACCGGGCCCAGTTAGTCCCATGTGGACATTGTGTCGAGGAGTTCTTTGGATATGTGGAGGTGAAGAATGTGGAAGGCTGCCCGTGGTTAGATGCTGTCCACGCCCCGCAAGGGAAAGGCCAGATCTCATCCAGGGTAGAGCTGTGTTACACTCGGCGAGGCAGCCCGCCTGGTTCCTGCGCATGCTGTGAGAAGAGCAGCTGTTTCTTGCCTGTTGAAATTAACATGGTGGAAGTCCCTTGTTCTTTTGTTTCATTAGTGTGTTAGATTTTCTCAGTTCTAGAGGATTAACAGCAGGTATTCTGTTTGTCTAAAAGTGGACATGGAAGGTACAAGCTCGGGACATGCCAGTGGACTGTCAGAGTCATGGAGCAGATCTAACACGTACCACTTTGCCACTACCACCTAAGGTTCAGAAAAATCCTTTGGTTGTAAATAGACACGAACTTTCAAGGGAAAGCACATCTGATGTTTAGTGGGTGTCTGCCATGTGCCGGGCCCCGTGCTGCTAAGCGCGTCCGTGCTGGGTCTCACGGTCAGGCCTGTGAAGGTGCTGTTACCGTCCCATCTTCGCAGCCAGAGAAACTGGTTCCAAGTGATTGACTTGTCCCGCCTCACACGACTAGTGAGGGGTGTGCCTGGCACGTGAAGCTGTTTCCCAAGGCGGTTCTTTCTGTGAGGTGTCACTGCCTCTTGCAGTCCTGGGACCTCAGAGGCGTCTTGTTTGACCTCTCGTCTGATGCCAAGAGGAAATCTGACCTAAGTGAGTACGTTTCAAGTAGAAGGGCACGTGGTGGTGCTGCAGGCCTTTCATTCCCTCGTAAGGCACTTTATGTCAGAAAACTCTTGCCTATTTTGAGTCTAAATCAATGTCCCTGTAACTGTCCCCAGCCGCTGGTCGTGGTTCTAACTTCAGAGGCCGTGGAGAACAATTCCCTTTTTGTCTTATGACTCTTCTGACAGCCCTGGTGTATTAGTCAGGGTCCAGGTGGGAGACAGAAACCACACGGTAACTTGAATGGGAAAAGTTTAATAGAAAGAATCATTAACGATTAAGAGGAGATCAGTGACTAAAGGGTAAGAAGGAGTCTAAAGATTACGGGAAATCAGTCTGGGAGAGCCCTTCCCCTGCTGGGTCTGTAGCCCACCGCACAGTGAGGTTTGCTGACGAGCCACAGACTGAGGCTGGCAGGTGAGAAACAAGCCGCCCCCGTGGTCACCTACAGATCCTACAGGAAGCTGCCCAGCGGGTGTTGCTGAACTTGCTGAGAAAGTGGCAAGGGCTTCGGCAAGCTCACCTGGAACCACCTGTGGGGAGAGCCTCAGCCGAGTTGCTGTCGGGGGTCCGCAGAACCTGCTGGAAGCTGCCCCTGGGATGCCACTTAAACCTGCTGGAGTTAAGTGCCCCTGCCTGCCTGCCTGCGGCCCAGTCCTGAGGGAGCAGGACGTGAAAAAGGCGCGCCTGACCCGGGAGAAGAGCCCCTCCTCGCGAAGCGTCCTCCAGTGCCCTCCACTGCCCATGCTGTCGCCCCAGCTGGCAAAGGGGAAACTTTACAGGCTCCAGTTCCAGTGTCACAAACAGGGCCGTGAAGGGCGAATTTGAAGCTATGGGGCAGTAAATTGACAGCTGGCACATTGAGTGTCGTTAAGCACTTGATAGAAATCCCGGGTTCGAGTATCTGCACTGCCCTCCTAACACCTCGCAAACTCTCCACCAGTTTGTTCCTACTTCTCTCCCTGGTGATACCCGAATCTGAGCACACACTGGTACAGAGGTTCTCAAAGTGTGGGCCAGGGACCCCTAGACATCCCTGAGATCCTTTCAGGGGGTCCATCAGGTTAAAATTATTTTCATAATAATACCACATCACTTGTTCTTTCACAAGCATCCTGTGGAATTTTCCAGAGGCTGCGTGACGTAGGGTGACATCATCACTCTGTTGGCTACTGGAATGTGTGCTTGTGTATTTTTGTTTAAAAATTCCCCCCTTTTAATTTAGAATACAATAAATTGTGTGTGTGTGTGTGTGTGTGTGTTGTATATCCCCCACATAAACAAACGTCTTTGGAGTTCCCAACAGTTTTTAAGCCTAAAGGATTAGGACAGTAGATTTATGACAGCGATTTTATTATCTGGAAGTGGGAGTGGGAAGCAAATGAGAATAAAGATGATTGCTGGAGAAAACTGTTGAACTTCATTGCTTTGTTCCTTATCTAGAGAACCGGGATTTTCAGGCTACAGTAGATGGTACAGGTCCTATTTGGTCTTTGATGCTAAACAGGTTTAGATCCAACTACTGGCCTTATTGTTTATTAGCTCTGTAACCCTGGCCAAGTTACTTAGCCTCTCTGGGCCTTGTAAATACTACTTTGTACATAAGTTCCGCCCCATGGAGTTGTCAGGACTGAGTGGAATTGCGTCTGTGAAGAGTCTGGCGTGTACTAGCAGCTTAGTAAAGGTCCCCTTCTCCCCCTCTGCTTCTTACTGGAGAAGAAGGGACTTACCTGAGACCCCCTGGATAACGCAGAACTCGGGTCTCCAGCCTCTCAGTCCTGTGGCCGTCTGTTTTTTCCAAAGATACTTATCGATTATGTAGTTCTGTGCCAGGAATGAAACTACAGATAACTATGATTTTGATGAAAAGGCAGTGGCCCATGGGACCATTCCTCAGGTCTCTGGTTCGGTCCTTTCCTGAACATGCTGCTTTTGGAGTTGGCCACTTTGTTAGGCTCCGTGCTTTTTCAGGCTCTGGGCTTATTTAAGACTGTACACATCTCCTTCATTACAGGCCTCTCACGTGCCCAGGCCTCCTCCGAGACCGCGGGAGCGCCCCCGCAGTGTGGTACATGGATATATTGAAAATGTCAGAAGTAAGATCTTGTAGCTGCAGTGGGTAAAGAGCCGTTTCCCTTCTGACTCTGCCTCTGTCGTGCTTCTCCCTCAGTGTGTGACTGGGGAGGCCACAGGCCTTCTGGGGCTTCAAGACCCACAAAAGCCAGATCTTCCCACAGTTACGTGATGGCCTTTTTGGAAGCAGTGTGATACCTAGCCTTCCTAGTCTCGTGTCACAGATGTCGTGTGAAGAACAAACTGCCCTGTGAAGGACCGTGAGGTTAAGGACATGGTATTGCACCAGAGCAGGATTAATTTCAGGCTGTGCTGAATGCGACATTTACAATAAGGAGCCTGCGGTTGAATAGCTTCAATTATTTCAAAGGATTATGGGAAGAAATAGAAGGCAAGTCATGGGTTGGTGTTTCTTCAGTATACTAGAAAATCCCACATAATTGGACCTAGAAATTTGATACTTACTCTGTAAATTGGTCGTGATGAGAAGCCGGGCCCCGTGAACCAGTGTAGGGGGCTGCGCGGGGGTACAGCGCTAGTGAGAAAGCTGTGCTCCTTCAGTGGACCCGGGTTGTGAGGGGCGGGTTTGCGCAGCCTGAGTAGCTGTGTGTGATGCGTGGTGGAGGTGGGCACCCGGGGCAGCCATCTCGGCACCTGCCGTGTCCTTTCTAGCAGAGCTACAGCAGGGTATGAGAGGGGTGCGCCCTCCTGACGGTGCTCTGCAGAGGTGGCACTGTTCTGACGTTCAAGCCCCGGCCTGGGACGGAGGCCGTCCAGGTGGAGCCCTCCCCTGTCACCGTGATCCTGGGCGAGTCCGTCTGCCTCTCTGTCTCTCAGCTGTGAGCTGAAGCCCCTTTGCACGTTCTGGTTGAGACAGTATTGAGAATTAGTACTCTTGTAAGGATAGACACATTTACAATATAAAATATTATAAAGACGCGTTGGCGAGGTCCCCCTGCACAGTGACACGTGTGGATTGCATGAGAGCCGTGGCTGAGTTGGTGCTTCCCTCTCGTCGTGATATGAAGCCTTCACCACTTTCTCTCCCCCGAGAAGTTCGGAGAGTCATCAACACCTTGCTTTGTCTTTTTCCAGATTCTCTCTGGCCCAAAATCCGAGTCCCGTTAAAAGTCGTGAGGACTGCTGAGAACAAGCTGAGTAACCGTTTCTTCCCGTACGACGAGATCGAGACGGAGGCGGTCCTGGCCATTGACGACGACATCATCATGCTGACCTCTGATGAGCTGCAGTTTGGTTATGAGGTAAGGAAGTTTGAAGCAGCATATTTATGTATTTAATATTTACTCTCGAATATTACCTGTCTTTCCTAAGAAAGACTGTTATATTTCATTCTCTAAAGTCCTAATTTCTAAATTCTGAGAGTCCAAAAGCTGTGCATGGGAGGATGGGTTATGAAGCTGTGCTTTGAAACTTCGGGAAACCCTATTCCAAAATGACAGCTGTGCCCTCCACCGGTTTTGGGAACTCCCAAGGAGAGTCCCAGGGGACGTTTTCAAAAGAGCGTCTGTGGCATTTAACAAGCGCTTAATTGATGTCTCCTTGAGCAGCTCGTCCCTGACTCAGGCAGCTGGGCGCAGCAGCGATAAAAATGTCAGTAAGTGAAGAAGCTGGCGGCACTGACAGACAGAAAGCAGACCCCGTTGATGGCTTTCTTTCTGGGTTTTAAGTGGAGAGGCTGGCCGCCTGTCTTTAGGGAGAAGCGTTCTCTATCACCGTTCGTTCGGTGCGGCTGATGGATTAGGCTGGGTTCAAGGGTTAAGTATGGAGACCAGGAAAGGTCTCCCCAGGGGAAAGTGCCAGAGCCGGGGCCTGGGGAAAGCGAGAGGAATTGATGAACTCTGTCAGGGAGGATGCTCATGAGATGCACGATGGTGACAGGCAGAGGCGGGCCGCTGCAGGGCTGTGGCGGTGCGTCAGGCCCAAGCGAAACAGGGTAGAGATCAGTCAGCTCCAGCTGGCGCAGGGCAAAGTGGGGGAGCTTGTCCCCTGGAGTCACCCCGACTTTGGGGCAGAGGGAACCATCTTCTTCAGTTGACTCAGGGTTTCTTGAATTTGAGGTTCTAAGAAATCATGACATTTTAGTAAATGAAGCCATATTTGGTACCTGTATTTATTAGAGAAATTTATTTTCGAACCCTTAAGTTAAAAGTGGATTTTAGAGGGAAGAAGTAGGAATCCTCTTACCACCGCCACCGCCAAAAATTAAAAATTCAAGTTTTCCTAGGTTTTATATGTATATATAGCTCCATGTGAGTGTAAAAGAAATTGTTGTGAAATAGGCTGATGTGTAATACCCTTGTCGATATTACTGGCCAGTGAAAGGCATGAGAGTAGTGAATAAAGCATACATTTCGCCTTCTTTGATTTATTTTCATTCATAGAGATGTCTTTCCCATCATCACATCTAGGGTATTGGAATGAATATCGTTTCCATTTTTTAAAAAAGCAAATTACCTACATGTTTCTCTAGCCGAGTCTTGGCAAAAAGACCAGTTTTTCCTGCCAGTATTTTCTGTCTTCATTCCATGAGTGGCTTCAAACTATACTCATGTGTTTATGTCTGTGGTCAGAGGGGACGTTCAGAATGAGGTGGCTGAGACGGACAGAGGGCTGCCTCTTCCGTGTTTTCCATTGGTCTGCATGAGGTCCGATAAAGGAAATGCAGACTAAATGTATTTCTTTCAACCTTGAGTTGAAACCTTGATATCATGAATATGGAAACCTGGGATCTCCTTCGCGCTTGAGTTTGTTTCAAGCAGCACAGAATGGGCTAAAGAGAGGGAGCACAAAACCCGGAGCGCCTGAGCCTGCGTCTTCTCCTCTGTCCTCTGAAGACCCGTGTTCACTCCACACAACCTTTACGGAAGTAGCTGCGTATCAGAGGAGTCGGGGCCAGGAAAACGCCTCATTTCTCTCTTAATCGGAATCTTCTCCAGATGCCCTGGAAGGCACAACTTTCCTAACTTCTGTGTACAACTGACTATTCCTGTCGATGCCCTGGGGGTTCGCATACGTTACAATCTTGTCCCAAACCTGCAAAGCAGTCGTCGTTTTTCTCTCTTTGCTAAGACTAAGCAAGGTGAGGGCACTTGCCTGCAGTCACACAGCTGCTCAGTGGAAGAGCCGGGATTTGAGTCCAAGTTTGCCTGATGCTCCACTGTTTTCCTGAGGATCCCAGCCCGTCAGAGACCCCTGGTCCTCAAAAATCGTGCTTAGAACCATCTGCGTTCCAGTGGTCCATCACTACGTTATCTTGATGCTGAAGAAGACAAATAAATTTCTCAGGCACCCCTACCATTGGTGCTTTAGGGTAACTTTGTAAAGTTATTTATTGCATAGTAATTCATTTTATGGACAAAGTTAGGATGGCTCTGGGCCAAAATTTCTGCTCTGTCAGTGACCATTCTATGACCTTGGACAAGTTATTTAATCCCTCTGGGTCTTATTCTTACATAAAATGGCAAGAACAGTATATACTTCGTTAGGGTTTCCTTACGCTGGATAAAATTACATAGTACTTGCCACGCAGAGGCTGCTCAGTGAGTACACTGCTGTGTGGTGGGTGATAGTTGTCCTGAATCCTGTTTTTTATGCTAGAGCTTAGGGTTATTTTCACGCAGGAATTGGGAGCAGGCTTGACTGATTAAGTGAATAAATAAATCAGTTCACAAGTACTTCTGTCACGGGGGAGTTACATTGGAACGTAGGGCTCCTCCTTGGTCACACTTACCGCTGTGTGTTAGGATTGTCGCTGTCTCGTTAATTGCTACTCATCCTTCAGCGTTCAGCTCAAATGTCACCATCTCAAACTTTTAGCGTCCCAGACTGGGTTAGGTTCAGAGTACTCTGTACCTCTTTGTAAGCAAGTAATCAATTGTGAAGAGTGTGGTTGAGTGTCTGCTTTTCTTCTAGAATGTAAGCCCCATAAGGGCAGGAACCATGCTGTCTTGTTCATTGCTGTATCCTCTGTGCCTAAGCCAGTTCAGTCCTGTCAGCAGTTGCTCAGTAATATTTGAGGAGTGAGTAAATCTTCATTACCAGCGTGCATAGGAAAGATATGAAGCAAAGTATCGTGACCTTGCATGCCTTTCCACCTTCCTGTGATCCATAATCTGGATATAGCCATTTTGGAAGACAGTTGGGAGTTTACAATGTTAACCATAGGGCTGGCCCTGTGGTGTAACAATTAAGTTTGCATGTTCTGCTTTGGCAGCCCAGGGTTCGCTGGTTCAGATCCTGGGCGCAGACCTATGCACCACTTATCAAGCCATGCTGTAGCAGGCGTCCCACGTATAAAGTGGAGGAATGTGCGCACAGATGTTAATGAAGGGCTAATCTTTCTTGAGGAACGTGTTAAACATGCATTTACCATGTGACCCTGCCGTTCCTCCCATGGAGATTTACCCTAGAGAAATAAGAGCATATGTATGCACAACTACTTGTACACTAATATTCATAGCAGCTTTTATTTGTAGTAGCCAAAAACTGGAGGGGAAAACCCCAATGTCTATCAAAAGTTGATGAATAAACTAATTAGACTAATTGTGGTATATCCATACAACAGAATACTGCTCAGTAATCAGGAGGAATGAGCTGTCGACACATGCAGCAACACGGAGGGATTTAAAAATAATTCCGAGTGAATGAAGCAAGATGAAAAAGAACATATTTTATGATTCCATTTATATAAAACTCTAGAAAATTCAAACTTATCTTTAGCCATCAAAGGTCAGTGGTCTCCTGGAGAAGGGGTGGAGGGTTGAGCTGTGAAGGGCAGGAGGGGAGAGTAACAGGGGCACAAAGAACTTTCAGGGGAAATGGATGTGTTCATTATCTTAGTTAGGATGATGGTCTTACTGCTTTATACAGATGTCAAAGCATTTCAAATTATACATTTTAAATAGGTTCGGTTTATTGTATGTCAACTATATTTTCAAAAAGCTGTGAAAAATTATACTCCTGCACTAGCGTAAGAAATTAAATGCTTGAAAAAATTTAATAAAGTGTGTGCCACGTATGTTTGGTGTGAAAACTAAAAACATGGCTGAGAGAAATTGCAGAACAGCTTCATAAGTGGCGAGATGTGCCATATGTAAGGATCCAGAGTTGCTTATTATGCTTATGAAGCTGTAAATTCTTCCCAAATTGTTAATAGATTCAAAGAAATCCCAATCGAAATCCTAGAGGCTTTTTTTAAAAATTGAAATTGACAAGCTAGTTCTAAAATTGCATTGGAAACACAGTGGACCTGAAAAAGCCAAAGCAATTTTGAGAAAGAAGAACAAAGTTGCAGGACTGCCTTATTTTAAGATTTTCTATAAAGCTTTGGTAATCCGGACACTGTGGTACTGGTGTAAATTAGACATATAGATCAATGAAACAGAATGATGAGTCTAGAAATAGATGACACGTGTATGGTCAATTAATTTTCAGCAGAGGACCCAAGTTGTTTCAGTAGAGACGGGACAGTCTTTTTACTAGCTGGTGCTGAACAGTTTGCTATCCATATATAAAAAAAATTCATGACCCTCACCTCACACTGTCTATAACAGTTGAACTTAAAATGCATCTTAGTCCTAAATGTAAGAACTACACTTATGTAGAAAAATGTAAGAATTACAATTGAAGAAAACATAGGAGAAAATCCTGGTGTACGTGGTCTAGGCATTGATTCTTAAGTAGGAGACAAATAGCATGATTTACAAAAGAAACCAAAATGGATAAGTTGGACTTCATCAAAATTGATGACGCTTAAAACACTTCTAAGAAAAAAAAAAAAAGGGAAGTCATGGATTGGGAAAAATATTTTCAGGACATATACGTGGTAAAGGACTAGTATCCAAAATATGTAAAGAACTCTAACTGCTCAATAATAAGAAAAGTCAATAAAACACAGGCAAAAGGTGTAAGGAGTTGCTTCATGAAAGAAGATATAGGGATGTATACTAGCATTTGAAAAAATCTTCCGCGTCATAATCATTAGGGCAATTCTAAAATGAAAGCACGGTCAGTTCCCACCATGGACCCGATGGAGTGACTGACACCCATTTGTTGAAATCTCTCCTTGGCCAAGATAAAAACCCCTGAGCATTTCTTTCATATTCTGATATTCACAAATAAGAATCCGTATCCGTCAGGGAATCAGTGCACACTAGTTGTTTCAATAGAGTGAATTTAATAGATGAAGTTTTCTAATACAAGGCATTAGCTGAGGGAGCAGAGAGGGATGCTGAAGCCGTAA